ATTCCGACAAACCTGCGGCACCTCCATGGGCAATCAGATCGGCCCCATTCTGTCGACGTGTGCCATTGTCTCGACGGAAATTACATGGCTCCGTTTGTATGGGCAATATGTCGCCAGCGCACACCTGGCCGACCAGCTCTGGATCCGCAGGTACGCCGGCAACCGAGCGATCATCGTCGACAAGGAAATACTCCACACCAATCCCCACATCCGGCAGCTAGCGTCGCTGCAATCTAACAAAAAGCCTGTGCAGCTCGAGGACGAAAACTGTGATGATTTCTTGGGCTCCCGCATCAATGCCAACAACACACAGGTCAGCTATATTCTTTACTCCCAGCCGTGGCGATACCGATTGCCTCAGTCAGCGGGTTCGCGCAAACTTCGCCTTAGTGGATATCACAGCAGGAGACATATGATTGAAAGCACGGTTTTCCCACAGTCCTTAGCTCAACAGCAGCTTCAAGCGCTGGACGACCTCTACTTCAAGCTTGGATTTCGAGACTTTGCTTAAGACATAAGGTAAAATATGGCGTGCTTGGAAGGTTTTGCTTGGTTGCATTGCTTTGGTATGTTTTATGTTTTGTGAATCCCGACCTCAGCTTTTTGTTCCCAAGTCTCAACCATGGCACCCAAGCGGTCCAACAAGAAGCCACGCGACGATGTCGAGTTGACAGATGTGGACACAAACTCAGACATGGACTTACAGCCAGTTCGACTACCCCACGGGCTACCACTGGACGAGCCACCACCGTGTTTGCCTTTGAGCAGCCACACAGAAGTTGAGCAGGTCTGCCAACACCACCTCAGCAATGGATACATCCCTATGTCGGTGTTTCCATGGTTGGCACAGAAGCTGCCATCAGAGCTCCTCCGTGCCTCCGCGCTCACACGCCGTGGCGCGCCGCCTTTGGTCTACTGCTCCACCGTGTCGCTGCTGCACAACGTGAACATGGCCACGCACGTCGACAAGTACAATCAGCCAGGCTCTACCAACGTGCTGGTGCCGCTTTCGCCATTCCGACGCGGAGAACTATGGCTACTAGAAGAACAAGGACCAGACCTCTCTCCGAAAGGACAGCATCAAGGACGCAAGCACCCTGTTCGCCTACCAAGTTTGGAGTTTGACCCCTTCACCAAACACGCAACCTGCCCGTGGAAGGATGACAGATTAGTCTTATCAGCATACACAACACTACGAACAAATCGACTTGAGCTCTCCGACATCGACCATCTAATGAGCCTTGGGTTTAATTTGTAATTTGTAATTCTTTTCGTGCAACCTGTACTTCAACTGTTTTGTGCCAATCATTAAGCACCCGCAGCGAGCCACGGCTGAAAAATGGAAGCAGCAGCACTTTCACAGCCGCACGTGGTCGCGTCACCTTTCAGCCTCAAGCTGGTCGAAGAACTCGCAATCTCCCCTGAGTACCTCAGCATGGATTTATACAGATGGATGGAGCAACGAGCTTCGGGCCGCGCTCCCCGTCGCCGACGACTCAACCCACGTGAGGATCTCCCGGAACATCTACAGCTGCATCATCTACCTCTCAAGGATGTTCTACAGATGGGGCAACAGGTGCCTGTGTGGTCCTGTCGGATCAGGCGTCCAGACCAATGTCATCGTCAGAACACCACAAACCAAGAATACAATCACGCCATCAGAGTTAAGTCGATGATCCTTGCGGATGCACACCGCCTGGCATGCGACATGGCCATCCAGCACACCGAGATCACCGCCTATTCCCTCTTGGAAGTGACGCACGACCTCCGCGCGCTCATGCACCTCGCGCAAGTCAACAAAGCCACATGGCTCCACTGCAGCCAGGTCCTCAAGTCAACAAGCACAGACTTCAAGATCCAGTCGAACGCCCCATGGCACAAACGCGCAGGTCGTGCCGTCGATGCAAACCATGAGAAGACACCGATCGACATCAAGATGTACCTGTTCAACAAGCGCATGCACACGTGGTATCACCATGAACTTTCTTACCAACAATATATGGACCTTGAAGTGCGTGAGCTCCTGCGCCCACCATAGACAGCACGACGCTTGGTGAAAAACAAGATGCGCACATTCGAGGCTTGAGTGTCTCTAAGTCTAACTTGTACTCCATGTCCTGTTTTCGCCCATAGCCACGTGCTAAGCTTAGCAGTCCTAGAGACCATGGATGCCGCGGCACCTACAACTCCAACGTCATCATCCGGTTCGTATGCTTACTCCGACGAGGGCGACACCTACGCTGCACAGCATGTGTTAACCAACGCAACCCTGCTCAAAACCATTCTCAAATTCCACACGGAGATCCGAGTCAGGATGGTGGCTGTGAGCGTGGAGGACACACCCATGGCCAGGCACGCCAATCAAGCCATGCAAGGAGCCATGGGCGCAATCGTGCAACAGCATCCGCAAGCCCAACACACGACGGCGATCCGCGATTATCGGCCTCAGCACACTCTCATCGAGAAGTTGGTATCGCCAGACATCATCTACAGCCTCCTGCTCACAAACCTCCAGGTGAGATGTGCAACCCGGGTAGCCACCCTGGACAGACGCCTAACACACGGACTCTTCTGCTCGCAAGACACGAACGAGTCCCTCAGGCGCATGAGACCGAGATTATCTATGGAAAGCCCCTTTTGTCCTTTGCCAGTGCGAGACATGCTTTATCATGAAGATCTTCAGCGATGGACATGCGTGCAATCATCTCAGGCGGAGATCCTATCCCTGAGGGTTGGCGAATACCAGTAAGACCCCAAGATCGTGTGCCACGCAGTCGCAAAACGACAAACGTCCTTGTGCATAGCTTGCTGTAGTCTTTGCTTGCTTTTGCGTTCAAGGCTCGCCCCACCCGAATCAGACTTACGCAACTGCTCAGCTCTCAGTCGCGCAGCCAACATGAACAATACGAGGGACGTCGAGAACGACGAGTACCCCACGTCCTGGAGGTACTACTGGAGCAAGATTAACAACCAATGGCAGCGAGTCTGGTTTCCAGTAACAAGAGCATGGTTATTCGAAAGAGAGCAGACCGCAACAGAGCCCAACATCAGCAACAGGATGCCGACCAACATCAACAACGGCGAGACGCTGGGGCAACCGTTACACCAGCGGCCAGCATTCCAGTACGACTTCCACTACGAGGAAGAGGAAGAGAAGTCGCACCCCATAATGCGTATGAGACATGCCAATTAGTATTTTGCTGTGCCTGCAAGCGCGCAGCCATCAGGATGAAAGCCGAGATTCGCCGTAGGCGATCCAGATTGCATGCATAAAAGATTCCTCGTCGAGGTGCGTGTGTGTGGGGAACCCA